CATACCATTTATCATAACATTTTTGACATCTGCATTGCTTCAAATAGTGAAAGAAAATTTGCAGAGTCAAAATTGTGTACTCATATTTCATATACATACCATTTTATTTTTCGAAGGAATATTGGCAATAGTTCGATTTCATTTCTGAAACATATTCTTCAAAAATAAACATTAAAAATAACCACCCATTATTTAATTGCTTTGCTAGTAATAAATTAATTCCGCATTACTCTTAATTTTAAATAATTCTTTTCAAAAAAATTTAAAATTACATTTCCAAATAATATTGTTTATTGGAACCGCTTCACTTTAGAAAGTTGAACTGGGAAAATAACTTTTTTCAAACAAAAATTGATCTGAGTTAATAAAGCTTCTAGGATTTTTCTACAACGTTAATTTAAACTGTGTAATTAAGAACTGGGAGGAGACTTAAAATATGCTCGATTAATTTGATTAACTAAAGCACAATCAAGCCTATTGATATTTTGCCAAATAAACTATCTATCATATACAATTTATAACATCTAATAACAAAAATTGAAATATAAACTCAAATTGATAATTTGTACTTACTCCATAATTGTTCTCAAAAGTTACTTACTACGGCTTAACTTTCAAATACAACACAAAAAAAATCTGTTATTAATATTGTTTTTTTAAATGCGTAAAAATTTGCACAAATTTAGAAAAGTAGTACTAGAAAAAAAACTTTACTAATTACAAGACGTTCTGGTTTAAGAAAATGTTTAGGAGTTTTGTACATTGAGGACTTAATGAGCAAAAGTATTGACTCAAGAGCTAAAATACCAACTGCGAAGTCCAACTGAACGAGAGAATATAACCAAAAATAAACACTCATTTCAAATAAAACAGAATCGCTTTCTAGTAACTGACATACCAGTAATTCTGTAATTAAGTGTAACAATATTTTTTTTAGAAGTTTACTTGTCTCTCTTTCTTTTTTTACTATTAAAAATGTCCGCCCGGTTAAGAAATACGCTGTGATTTTTCCACACAGACCAAAATCTGTGTATTAAACTGAATGGGGACTTAAATTGCGCTCAATAGGCTTGGTTAGCTAAAGCATGACAAAGCTTCATAATGGTTTGCCAAATACACTACCCATCATAATATTTACAATCAACAAAAATGACCAAATTTAAAAAAGTTCTAATTTCAAATGAACTGGCGAGTAACGCCAAAAATAAACACCCAATTCAAGCCGTAAACTGGCCTACTTTCTAATAATTGACCTTTCACAAAATTTAACAATAAATCTACAGAATATTTACTTGATGAGATTTGGCAACTTTTGAAAAGTTTGATCAGAAGAGTGATGAACTGGCACTCGTTAAAGCAACTCCTAATATTTTGCGCAAATCGCGGAATAGTAGAAAGTTGAAAAGAAATGGGAAATACACGTAAAATGGGACTAAAACGAAAAATATCACCAATTCAAACTAAACAACAGACAATATCCGACCAATAATCTATTATTCAATATGCAAAACCTATAGTACCAAAATTTACTCAACTTTAAATAAATAATAATAGGGACTTTTTTCTAAAAGAAAGCTGACCCAAGTTAAGAAATTTTTTTTTAAGAATTTGATTCATCACTGATTTAACAGCGAAATCTTGCTGAACGAGATGAGACCGTAAATTTGTTTTATGAGTTTATTTAATTAGACTATAATTAGGCCAATGTATAATACTTCATGTAAAAATTGCAAATATTAAATTCCTCGATTAAATTGTAAAAATTAAAAAAATCTAAATTAAATGAAGGAATAACCTAAATATTTCAGTAATAAATTCGTAACGAATCGAACCATTTTTTATGTTTATTCCGTAAGTATAACAAATGGTACTTATGTATATAAAAATATAAAGCTAACATGTTTCTTTTTTTCCAGAGACTTTCAAGTTAGTATTTATTCAAACGACAGTATTTTAATTAACGTTTCAATTTCCTATTAACACTTGACAGTGCGCAAACCTTCGTCGAGAATAATCACTCCGATTTCCAATTCATCGTAGGCTATATTTTTATAATAATAATGTGATATTAATCTTATCTTTTTCAGGCATAATTAGAAAAAAAATCCGCAGTAAGTATTTTAACAGTAGAGCTTCAATTATCTGTAATATATACTGTGAGCTAGGTAATATAATTTGTACTTTATCTTCTTTCGCTCGTTGTGTTGACAAAAGGCACAAACGAAAATATTAATTAAACTTTACAATTGGTTGAATCGATTTGAATGGACCATACTGATCCATCTAGTCTTCTACTATAGTGACCTGATCCATCTAATAAACAACTTACTTGAACAAGTTTTGACGTTTTGTCGAATGTTTTTCATTGGACCTAATAATTGTAGACTAAATATTTTACGACAAATTAACTGAACAGTCGAAACAATATTTATACTATTGCAAATAAATAAAATAGGTAAATTTACAAAGTTATTAATTTTATAAGCAGAGATAACATTTTTTATCCTATTACCTATATTATTCCGTTTAAAAATGAAGAAATCACAATATTATACTATTATTGTGCCATAATTTTTATTTTGCACCACATTTCTGAATATTGAAATATTAAAATTCGTATATAATTCGTTCATAAGACAGGAATTTCTGAGTTAACTTGTTGAACCGTCGAAAGACCTAAGATTCATGCAATTTTAGTCTTTCTATTACTTTTTTAATGTTAGTTGGCAAAGACTTCTTATTTCATAACGTAGCTTTTATTAAATTATATTATATTTTTCAAGAGTTTTCATTCATAAATATAGAGTTTTGAGATTTCACTTTATCTCAATATTGCAAATTATTCATTGCATATTTTAGTGTTAAATGCGACTGGTAATACATTATTAATCCAATCGGAAAACTATTAAGACACATCGACCAAACTAAATCACTAGTTCAAAATGGCATATTTGATATAATAAGCAAGTGCAGAGAAAAATACACCTGACACAAAGAACAAAAAATAGAAGGCACATACAAAACCATTTAAGGAAATGACAGAAAATCAAAATACGCGATTGAACTCAGAAAACCAAGAAGCACCACATTTAGCACGAATAAGCTCACAAACCCAAAAATCAATAACAGTACAACTAAAACGTGGACACGATTCAAAACATTATACAAATTAAAAAGAAGAAAGAATTACTGGAACAATAAAAAGCCAGTCTAATCCACGAAAGACACCGGCAAACCAAAATAACGCTGAAAAACGCACCGCACCTATCAAGATTTTATAAAAGGTAGTTGTATTAAAAACAAACAAAAAAATACTCAAACCCAACACTATGTAATGAAAAATGCCAAAAAGCGTCCGACAGATCTGTCCAGTGAAGACAGGCAGACCAAAATGATGACAACGACTAAATTATAAGTCCAACACCCAACAGGAAATTTTTTCCTAAATAATGGACAATATAGAGAGTATAGGAATGCCTTAACGATTTTTCCAAATCACTAGTGTACTGAACACAAAAAATTCTGGATTACAAAGACCCTTCTCTACCACTTGGATGTAGTAAACAATCCTGGGCTGAAACAAAATCAAAGCACATTGCTGGCAACATGGGTCTTCAGTCCCCACTCAGACAAATACAATTCCACAATGTAATTAAATTTGCCTTTGCAGCTTACATTACTTCCATCTCTTTTCTTCCTTCAAAAATAGAACATTAGAAACTTACCTTTAGGAAGGCCCCAGGATATTACATCTTATCAACGAACTTACTGTAGAAATTGACAAAAAGTAGTCTTATGTTTTTGATAATTTTTGCGGCCCTGTATGAACAACAACCTACTACAATACAGTGTAAAAAATCTGTAATTAAAGCAAGCCCAAAACTCTAACAACCCAACAAAAAAGCTCCTTCCGTCCTATCAATCCCCTTCTTGCCCTTGGAAACCTGAAAAGCTCTTCCGTAAAATAATTTATATAAATAGCTGAAACTGCTAACATCCTATCTCACCCCATGTTTGTTTTCCGCTTATTTAATCCACTAAACAAAAGGCGTATCGCGATGTGAGGACAATACTCGAGCAGAAACAGTAATGTGCGAGCTTTTCATTTTCTCGAGGCTTTTCCTCTTACATAAACAATGAATCGCGTGTACTCCAGGGCAGTATCGAAGGTCCCTTCGTATTTGCGTATACACAAAGGACATTCCTGTTCTCCTCAACCATATTTGTTTTATTTTTCGTACGACAAAACCACTCTGTCTTATAATCCCGATCTTTCCTTGAGAAAATGTCCAACTCCATTTAAACCTTATCAACCAACATGGTATCGGAAATGGATGATAAAAATTATAGAAACCATCCTCCCAAATCTTTTTTACTCTCCGAAAATATGATATCGTGCCCTACTTGTGACAATACTTTGACAAAAGGCTAATTTTGGATTGCAGACACGACTGAAAAGACAGGAAATTAATCGATGATATAAAATTGTTATAGGTTACTTGACCATAGATCTTACTCTACCATCTTACCAACAAGTTCACCAGTTACAAAATCCCCCCTCAGACCCTCAGATCTTAATAGACGTAAATGTAAGGAGGGATCATCGAAAAAATCCAATTCCTATAAAATACAATCCATCCATTCAAAAATACAAAACTCTCTTATCTCGATTTCAAACCAAACAATCCACAATTACATTAGTCCCAACCTTGCTGCAAATTCCACACGATGTTTAAAGCGGATACGGCGGAAAGATCAATGGAAAATTTCTCCAGAGTGTGACTCGCTTAGTGATGTATTTCTATTATTTTTTTTATTGAACACAATGAACCCATAATTAACACGCTCTCGACCGTCAATACTATTTAATTTCTTGTTATTGGCCCATAATATCTATTGTAGCCTTTGATATTCTCCGTGCTTAGCTTTTAATATGAATCTTCTTCATTTTCCTTGACATTTTCGCATGATTTACACTGATATTTTCTTTGTTGTTTCAGGTCTACAATTAGAAGGAATATAAATAAAACACCACTGAACCAAAGGAAGGCGACTTAGTGAATAGATGTAACTTTAAAATGTAATTTATTGTGATTCTAAATATTTTCTAAAAAGGTATAAAAACAAGTTGTTATTTAACATAAGAAGTGCTGCTATTATAGTTGTGATTGTTACTTTTTTCATAATGAAAAAAAGGTGTTAATAGAATATTGTAATTATTTGAAATGGCTAGAATAAGGGATTTTAGCCATGTCAAATCGGGTCGATCGGGGCTTTATGAAGGAGTCTCGAAATAAAGACCGCACGAGTATGACAGATCCTGAGTCCGGTAGACGAATTTCAAATTTTTCTACTTGTAGATTTCTAAAGTACCAGATCGCTTCGTATGTACATTTAAATATTAAAAATGATTTAATCTTTAACTCCCGAGTAGGACTTTGGTGTAGCTTTAATTTATGTAAAATGTGAAACAAAAATTTTATATTAATGTGTTGTAATTAAAAGTAGATTAAACAATAACAAACAACCACTCGCCAGTGTTTTAATTTGGATAAAACAGGAAAATGTATACAATCTGTATAGAAAACACAATTGGAGTTTTAATTTCGATATGTATTGTAAAGCCTGCGCTCAACTAGATACGATATTTTGGTGTTGTCTGTCATTGTAAATAAAATATAAATAGATGTTAAATATTCTGCACAAATGCACTTTAAAAGAAAATAATTATTATCACTGGAAAATTATTATTACGTAGAAATATATAAAAACAATGAATTAATATAACATATTGTATATATATATGTTAACATATATATATTTATGTTACATGTTATAGCCTAAATATATAGCGTACTATTATAGCTTAAGAATGAGCCCCTTAAGTTATAATGGACTGAAGTATATACGTAATAGTTGTGAAAATAAAAACATTTATATATTAACTAATTTATTTTTATGTACGTCCAAAGCCTCTTATTACAAAAAATTAAGATAAAAGAGATTCAAGATGATTTAAAAATTAATATGTTTGCAACTCGAACTCGATTGGCTTAGTATTCGTTTTCTCAATTGTATTAGTCTAACAGTGTTCAACACGTCAATTTCCAAGCCGCCAAAAAAGAAAAGTAGAAATACATTAGATGTTGCCACGTTGAAATAATAGGAGGATAAATAAAAGGATTCAAGGAGTAAAGGTAATAAATTATTACATTAATAATGGTAATAATCCATTATATTTAGTGGTCTGATTGACCAAATTACATTTTTCAATTAATATTTTTATGTAAGGTTTTGGTTGAGATGAAAAAGCTAGTGTCACGAGTGGGATTCGAACCCACGACCTTCGGCTCAGTTGGTGTCCGAGTGGATCGAAGGTCGTGGGTTCGAATCCAGCTCGTGACACTAGCTTTTTCATCTTAACCAAAAGCTTACATAAAAAGATTAATTAATCGAAAGAAGTAATTTGGTCAATCAGACCACTAAATATAGTGGGTTTAATAACAAAACGAAGTATACGAGAAACAAATAGATTACAGGACATTTGAAAAATGGCAAAAAGGAGGTAAAATTCGAAGGTGGTTTGAGATGGGAAGTTGGTATCCTAGTAAAGAGCGATTGATCTTGAGTCCGAATTAAAAAGATCGAAATTGTGAGAGAGATGCAAATTGTGAGTGATCAAACACAACACGGAATTTAGAGCCATTTTACCGCTGCAGACTCTCTTGAATGTACTATGATTGAGGTGGTCGAATACTGCAGTATGAAAAAAAAGAAAACATTTCAGAATAGTAAAAATTTGGTGATCTTTGATATCCCGTGAGTTGGTTCATTTCCAATTTCTTTATCAGGCCTGATAATTCCGGACTAGAGGCATTATTGTAAGTTTCGGCCTTTTGTTAGTTTTTAATTTAAAAAGAATTTGACAATGTAATTATAAATAGAATGGTTGTTATTAGTATTCATCTTTTTTAAATCGTAGTTTAAAACCTAAGTAAGCTAAATACCCTAAGATATCATCTTGTGTTAACAAATTAACTCCGATATAAGAAAGAAGAACTTCATTATTTAGCTCCCATCATAACCCTGGGTGGAAGCGCCACTGCATAAGGACGAGAAGCCAGAAGCGCTACATCGATCGTTCTACTCTTCTTTTCCTTTTTTGCCTGGTTTTGGAATTTATCCTTTTCCAAAAACACCGTGGTGCTCAACATAACATCTGTAAATAAACTTTCACCCCCTCACCGACCATCACTTGTCTATCCCTTCAACACGTCCCCCTCATCACCACTGAGCTACCGCCAACGTACGTGCAGCTACAGTAAAGAAGCTGTAGCAAGGGTAGCAAGAAAAATTAACAGTGTGGAGAAGAGAAAGAGAAAAAATTATAGAGGAAATATAAGTTACGCAACGACGCAATTAATAGCATAGAAGGAAAAGAGAAAGGGGGGAGGGAGGGAGTAAGAGAGAGAGAGAGAGAGAGAGAGAGAGATAGAGAGAGAGAGAGAGAGAGAGAGAGAGAGAGAGAGAGAGAGAAAATTAATGCGAAATGTGTTTCTTGATGTGTTTATTTATTAACACCATTAACCTCAGCTATAAAACAACAAAATAAGCACTTACAAAGTTCTATTTTGAATAGTTTTCTCATATAAACCGCTAATTATACCATAAGTTGGAATTTCCAATTATTTTTAATCTGGAAACGATTTAAGCTCGTATAAGCCACAGAGGTTATTAATAGGTAGTAAAGGCAGTAAAGGACCCCTCACCTCTCTCCCGTGGGTTGTTTTCAACGATCCTTTGAAGAAGACATTTCCATCAAGTTGGCCAATCCAATTAAGCCGAACTGCGAAGTTGGAGTTGTTTCACAACATCCAAACTGGTTAGATATTCACTATTATACATTCGCGCACAACACATTTTGGAAATTTCAATTCCAGATGGTCAACTAAAGCTTCTTTTTAATATAGTATTCTTTTACTTTGAATATATAGAATACTAAACACAACGAGTCAATTTATATTCGGATTAATGCAGTACAATCCATCAAACAAGCTTTTTGTCAGTGGACCAGTTATGACTTACTTATTATTTGAAACATTATCATATTACAAAGAAAACAGGACAAAGGAAAGAAGGTTAACTTTTCCGTCGATAAATTTTAAATTTAGTGTTAAATGAATTCAGTTTTGATGTAATAATTAAAAAAGGTTTCATTTATTGGCGGGTCTTTGTTTTCTCTAAAATATTCTTTGCTTAATGGTCGTTTACCAGGTTTGAAACAACGCTCTTCTAAACTAGGTCGTTAATTTGTAATGACTTTATTTATGACCACTCTGCGTTTAATGCTCACCCGTTCAGTAGTGCCAATTTACAAATGCTTGCGCAAATCCTTCTTTGAAAAATGAACGGAATACGAGTGACTACAATGTACATTTTCTAAAAAGAATAAGGTTTTTGTTTAATGTTTGTCTTTTTATACAAAATTTTCCTTCGTTTGTAATTTGATGACACAAACGCTGCATTATTTAAAGAAGAAACAGGGATTGCTACACTTTTTAATTCATAATTTTATCAATTGTTTTAAAATAATTTTGAGATATATAACCAGGAGCTCTGTTACATAACATTTTATGGTTCAAGAGGTAACGACTAAATCAAACATTAGTTAGATTGGGATATTGATTGGTACAATCACAATGAAACAAAGTGAATATTCTCTACATTTACGTTTAATTGTTTATCAACAACTATTATGTTGCAGCTTGTCTGTTTGGCTGTATTACTTGGGTTATTAGATTGGATGTATATTCAAAGATGTGTAAGAAACATACACACACACACACACACTCACACACACACACACACATATATATATATATATATATATATATANAAACATTGTAGGAAAAATTAAATAACACCAAACATGTGTACATTGTGTTTATCCATGGATTTGCATAGATATCCAATAAAGGTTTTACGGGCTGTCAAAAACCGGGTCATTTTAGACCCATAACATTCACACACATTTTTAAATACAATCTTTCAATTAATTAATCTTTATGTCACATATTGTTTGAGATAAAAAGTCAGTGTCACGAGCGGGATTCGAACCCACGACCTTCGGCTAAATACGCCGGTGCTCTACCACTTGACCTATCGTGACTTCGATCCACTCGGACAACAACTTCCAATCTCAACCCCTACTTTTGAATTTTTTATCTCAATCATTTTCTTACTTAAAGATTAATTAATTGAAAAGAATTTATTTGGTCAATCGGACCACGAAACCTAATCGATTTAATAAGCAAAATGAAGTATACTTCACTAATGCTCTTCGTGGCCATTTCATTTGTCGCCGAGAGTCAAATAGATTATACGACATTTGAAAAATGGCAAAAAAGAGGGAAAATGTAAAAAAAAACAGGTGGGGTTGAGATGGGAAGTTAGTGTCTGAGTGGATCGAAGTCACGATAGCTCAACCGGTAGAGCAGCGGCATATCTAGCCGAAGGTCGTGGGTTCGAGTCCCTCTCGTGCCATTAACTTTTTTTCATCTCAACTAAAAACCTTAATTAATTGTACTTTACATAATGATTGAAAGATTTTATTTGGTCAATCGGACCATGAAATCTAATGAACTTAAATGCAATCTTTGCAATCTATTTCCATACCTTACACTCACTTAGATTGGTAGAGTACTTGTTATTCCTCAAACATCTTTTTCACAGCTATATATAGGATAGTACAAGTTGCTCGGAATTAATTCCTTAGGCTGTACCCTTTCATCGTTCCACAAGTATTGGGCATTTGCATGATGTTCAAGTTGAACACATCAAAAGTTTATTAAAAACCTACACTTTAAGAAGGCTTGAGCCAATAGCTCTAGTTGTAGGTTGATTTGAATTCCTAAAAAGAGAAGACATAAATTTCTGTAGCAGATACTCTTTCGTGTCAAGTTATACTTGTACAAGTCAATGGAGATGAAGAGTGTGCAAACTGGACTTCGGTCCAAGTTTGGGTATTTTATGATTTTCAACCTCTCATTAAGAAGTTTGTCTTCACGTTATTTATTTTTTGCTTTAGGACCTGCAACTACAGTGGTTATCGCCAGCCCTCTCTTCGTTGGTTATTTATTATTATTTATTTACCTGTTTTTGTGAGTAAAGTTGATTTATACAAACTATGATCACGAAAATGTAAACTGTTATAATACTGTCGATTAAAAAAACAGACTACATTGGTTTTGCACGAAAAAATGGCCAATTTTGTAAATGTATCTTTTCTCAGCCTTTTAAGTCGCAGACCTGCTCTAGGACTCATTTTTTAATAGCATCAATAAATTCAAAAATTCGGGAACATGTTCATTTTTGCACTTTTTACGAAAATTTAAAATTGAGCTGTGGAGCCAGGAAATCACCCTGGACCGACACCCTTTAGCAATCGATAGAAATTTTTAATAAGCTTTCAATTGGTCACCTTCTACTTTCCCTGATTTCTCAACGGTTTTTTATTATTTGCCATTTTTAGGCAAAAACGTTGTTCAAAGCTTATTGAAATTTCCTTAGGTTGAACAATATAACTTACACTGCCCATGAAGAAAACTGTCCACTTGGTTTTTGCACGATAATGAAATTCTTAATTCTAAAACCTTCAAATTGAAATTTCCTATCGATCGCGGTGGGCGCTGCTCGAGGACGATTTTCTTGCTCCACAGCTCAAATTGAAGTAAAAAGTGCAAAAATTAACATATTCCTTAATCTTTGAATTTACTAATGAATGGCTGAAGCTAGGAAAATATTTTAAAAAGCCATCATATTCAGCGTAAATTTTTTTTTAAATGAGTCTTAAAAGAGTCTCTGTGACTTAAAAGCTGAGATAATATGCATTTCCAAAGTTGGGCACTTTTTTGTGCAGAAACCAGGTGGACAGTTTTCTTCATGGGCAGTGTAAGTTATATTGTTCAACCTAAGGAAGTTTCAATAAGCTTTGAACAACGTTTTTGCCTAAAAATGGCAAATAACAAAAAACCGTTGAGAAATCAGGGAAAGTAGAAGGTGACCAATTGAAAGCTTATTAAAATTTTCTATCGTTTGCTAAAGAGTGTCGGTCTAGGGTGATTTCCTGGCTCCACAGCTCAATTTTATGTTTTCGTAAAAAGTCCAAAAATGAACATGTTCCCGAATTTTCGAATTTACTGACGCTGTTAAAAAATGAGTCCTAGAGCAGGTCTGCGACTTAAAAGGCTGAGAAAAGATGCATTTACAAAATTGGGCATTTTTCGTGAAAAAACCATGTAGTCAGTTTTTATTAATGGACAGTTTACATTTTTGTGATCATGACAACAGAACAGTTTTCTTCATGGGCAGTGTAAGTTATATTGTTCAAGCTAATATATTAAATCAATTTCGTGTGATATCTACAAGTAAAAGCAGTATAATAGCCCTGTTTCCAACGAAATTCGTAACAAAGCCCAAATATGAGTATTTAAATATTATATTGTATTTTTAAATTATTAATATTATTTAAACTTCCTGCCACCAAGAAGAGGCGAAGCAAACTCCAGCGGACTTTTTCTTTCAATTACCACTCCTTTTATATCTCAAGAAAATTGAGGCTTTAGGTAACCTCTCAGGTAACTAGTCGTTTCTAAAATTAGCATAAAAATTTAAATCGGACTTTAGCTTTATTGAATTATAAATATTTTATTCCAACAATGTATCAATTGGGGTGTGATTCACCCCCACCTGTAAATAGTGTTTATTTATTTTTGTATTTTTTTCAATTTTTTTAAACTTTTGTTAATGTCATGGGCATAAACTCCGATAACTTTCTCAAAGTTTATATCCATTGCGGAAATAATAGTAAATCAATTATTGCGCCTTTGTGAGTACTTACATAGACTGAAAGAAGATTCCTTCTGTTTATCAACAGCAAAGGAATTTTTCTTCAGGGACCAATTTGGTGTTGGTAAATTAATGCGTTCGTTTAATTTGTCTTTGCTGGATATAAATTAAAACGAAGAAAGTAAGGTTGGGTGAAATTTAAAAAACATCTTAAAACAAAGATATATGTAAATTCCATTAGGAATTAATGTAAGTATTGTGTATTTAATAGTTCACAAAATGTATATTAAAGATCAGTTTATAACTTTTAATTGTAAATGAAGTACATCAAAGAAATTTCATATCAAAGCTTTATACTGCAGCACACACTCCTGAAAATAATTATTCTTTTAAGTGTTACCAAATCATATATTCAAAAAAGTAAATATAACCTTACCTTAATATTTACTAAAATAAATCAAACAAAACAACTTTTTTTACCTTTTTCAGGTGTTTGCCATCCGACATACTCGTCGGTCTTTTTGTTCTCTTCAACGAGCCAATCATAAAGAGGTTTGAAATAGTTGAGAACGGAAGACGCGTCCATTTTTTTCGTACCGGTCACCAATTCCAAAGCTTCGGGCCATGGTTTCGAGCTACCGAGACGCAACATTTTCCTAAAAAACGATATCGTTATTGAAAAATTCATACAATTTTTATTAAATTGTCCGGATTACCCGAGCAAATTGCCGGCAGCAGTGCTCTTGTAAATGTCGCACTGATGGAGGTACTGCTTCGCCGCGTCTTTGAGGTCGAATTCACCTGCAGCCTTGCAAAGGCTTTCCTGGAATTGGAACTGAAGGACGTGGCTGACGAAGTACCTGTAATTTTAGAAATGAAGTTTCACAAACTCATACACACACGTTTGTTGAATATAATTAAGATTCAATATCCAAACAAACCTGACGTATGGTACGTTACTTGCGACGTGATATTTGGCACCGGCGTCGAACTGCTCCTCGTTTCTTTGGACGGGCGGTTCCACGCCTTGGTATTTCACTCTAAACATCAAACAGGTTTATAGTTAAAAACAGCTGTATTTTAGCATTAATTTCATTTGATTTAATATACCGACCTCATGTCCCACCAAGCGCAGTTGTAGTTTTCGGGTTTGACCTTCCCCTTGAAAATGTCCCAACGGTATTGGTCGATCAAGTAGCCGAAAGGAAGAAATGCAAATTTGGCAAGCGCGACTGTCATAAGCGATTTAACCATAGACTCCTTGCTCTCTTCTTCCAATTTTAGAAGGCCAAGTTTAGCCAGGTGCTTTTCCGTGCCCACAGAGAGTGACATGATGTCACCGATTGCCTCGTGAAAACCTGCATAATTTTATTAGTTTGCATCAAATCTAAATTATTGAGAGTAGTTAGTTTTAATTGCCTGAATTTGCTCCTTCTCTATAAACGTACGGTTGATCCTTGTACTGGAGGAAATACTGGATGTGTCCCATCTCGTGGTGGACTACAAGGAACTGGTGTTTATCGACTGTGGTGCACTGCTTGATTCTAAATTTGTACGAAATTAAAACTGTTATTAAAGGTAAAGGAAGACGTTTTTTAAATTTATCACCTGAAATCTTTGCCATCGTAGAAGTCCCATGCTGACGCGTGGCAAGTTAGCTCGACGCCTTTCGGCTTTTCGATGATCGATTTTTCCCAAAACGTTTCTGGCATCGCGCTGAGGTTGAGGGAAGTGAAAAATTGTTCGGCGAGTTTGAACATTTTGAGAGCGGTGTAATTCTTTAAAAAAGCAATTTAAAAAAATAAAAGGTTAATTTATAGAAAACCGCTTTCAAAATGACTTGTGGGTCTTCATTATACATTACTCACTTAAAATATAAAAAATTGCTACATTTAAAATATTTTTTGTAACTAAAAATAAAGCATAAATAACCAGTTAAAAATGTATATATAAAAGTGCATAAAATAATGATAATACTAGAGAATAATAAAAGCTTCAAGATTTGTATAATTAAGCGTTCAACCTGGCGCAAGAAAATTCGTAAAACGTACTTTCTTTTCTAAAACATTTAAAACAAAAACGAAATATTTAAATTTAATTAATTCTTATGTGTTCAGATAAAAAAATAATGAAAAAAGTTGTAGGGGAAGTTTACTAAACAGTTAAACAACATAATATTCGGCTTCAGAGAAATTAAACCCTGTTTCAGCGCACAGAAAAAAAAACTTTTATTAATTTCTACAAAAAACTCTCTAAATTATTTAAAAAGTAGTCACTTAGGTTTTCCTAACACTTGCTACCAATGTTATAAGGGATTACAATCCAATTAATGAAAAAATAGAATGGAGAGATTTTAATGGCAAGTAAAAATATGTTGTCATTAAACTAGCTTAGAAATATTAAAACTAAAGTAGAATAATAAAAACAATACAAAGAAAGCGTTAATTTGATCTGTTTTGTGATTTGAGTTGTGTTCAACTTTTCATGATCCTTGGCAGATGAGAGTTTTTTACGAGGCGATTCGTTTATGCGACCTTTTCATTTAACGATTTTAGCTCCAAACTTTATGTATTTTTCTTAATATTTGCTCTTGTCTTTTTATATGAAATTGTTAAATTTTTTAAACTGTTTATTCATGCAGCTATAATAAAATACAAAGTAGTAGAGGCCACTCATAACCCGTAAGGACACCTTACAAATTCATTTACACATCCTACTTTTTTTGTTTTAGTTTCAAGTAGAATAATGTCAAGACGAAGTTAAATCTATAAGCTTGTTAAAAAAACGTCCGTTAGAAAAACATACTTTTTCGAATTTTTGTAGACTTTTAATATTTTTTAGTTTTAGAAAGTATTTCTACATACTGTGACCAATATTTAACGAGATTACTATACGAGATCATATTGAAATTAATCGATTCTCGGCGACATATGAAGTGGCCACGGGGAGCTGTTCGTGAAGTTAAACTTCGTTTTACTTATTACATCAATTATGGTTAGTAGTCAGATTGACCAAATTAGTTCTTTGAATTAATTATTCTTTTTATGTAAGGTATTGGTTAAATTCACTAATTTCGTGGTCCGCTTGACCAATTAAATCATTACAATTAATTAAGGTTTTTATTTGAGATGAAAATAAGTTAATGGCACGAGAGGGATTCGAATTGTCGTCGATAATCCAAACCGATATTTGATACACGATATTTGAAAAATGGCAAAAGGAGGGAAAACTCATAAGGTGGGGTTGAGATGGGGAGTTGATGTTCGAGTGGATCGAGGTCACGATAGCTCAGGTGGTAGAATAGCGGCGTATCTAGCCGAAGGTCGTGGGTTCGAATCCCGCTCGTGCCATTAACTTTTTTTCATCTCAACTAAAAACCTTAATTAATTATATTGGTTAAAATGAAAAAAGCTAGAGTCACGAGCGGGATTCCAACCAATCGAATCCTGATTATACGACATTTGAAAAATGGCAGAAAGGAGGAAAAATTCGAAAGGTTGTACGTTGAGATGGAGAGTTGGTGTCCGAGTGGATCGAAGTCATGATATCTCAACGTATTTAGCTGAAGTTCGTGGGTTCGAATCCCGCTAGTGACACTAACTTTTTCATTTCAACCAAACTCTTACATAAAAAGTTTAATTAATTGAAAGAAGTAATTTGGTCAATAGACCACTAAATATAATGTAGTTATAACTTATATTGAAAATTAAATGTTGAAAAGGAAACAAAAAAGAAAGCGTACAGACAATTTGAAGGATAGGGTAAAAGTTGGAATAAACAAAATAAAGAAGAAAAGAAGAATTAAATAAATTGAGAAAAAATCAAAGTTTGTAATATAGATTAAAAAAAAGAAATAGAAAGAAGAGAAGCAGGAAAGAAAGAATAATAAAAGAGAGAAGCGAATAAGGGTGAAAATTAGTAGAAGTGCACTTGGACAGGCGAAAAAAATATCAGAATCGTAATCAGACAAAACGATAAATAAATAGATCGATAAATAATTAAAGATAAAAAGAAAAAGACGTAGAGAGAGAAAGAAATATCGTGACAAACATGACACAATAAGAATGTGAGAGACAGAAAATAAATTTAAAAAAGTACAAAAATAATGGATGAATAATGAAAGAGTTTTTTTATGTGTGTGAAAAAGGGGGCGGAAGTATGTGAGAGAAAAAAAGACGTAGATGAGAAAGAAACGATAGAATATTTTTTATAGGAATCGTTATTAAAGAAAAGATTATATGTATATTTCAATATACACAACTGTTTTTGAATTTATGGGATTGAGGGATGGGTAAAAAATTCTCTCCTAAAAATAAATTGAACCCATGCTCGAGCTGAGAGTTTGAATCACTTTACGACTAAAAAATAATTGTAACTGTGATTTGTTGTTAATTTGTGTAGTTGTGAGTTTATCTTTGTCAATATTTTATCTTATAATTATTAGTTTTCAGATTGCGTTCCTGAACTTCCGTGCTGTTTTAGTTCCTAATTTCTTTTATTTGCGTTTCTTTCTACATTTCTTACGCTATGTGTGTGATTGTGGTCCACGTGCTATGTACATTATTGTTTATAGTTCATTTTTTGTACTTTTCGTTTTTCAGAGTTAGTTTTTTTAATCTTTCAATATTTCAGTTCTGCCGTTTTATGTAGGTGGGGGTTATTGCTAACGAGAATAATGATACGAAACCGCCAAAATTTAAAATCTATGAATGGACAAGGAAATAATTTTATATTTTACGTCCTTCTTTGTAATTCGTAACAACAAAGCATTTAAAATATCAATAATTTTATCATAAATTTTACATTATAACTTCCAACGTAATTAACATAACGATAATAGTGCATTAATAACTAACATATTAAATATGAGATGTATCTATTTAAAACATTTACGATAAAGAAGAATAGGTCGTTTGTACTAATTTTAATTTATTAGCATATCATGAAGATAAGTAGGAAAACAAATGTTTCTTTAATATTAATTGTCTAATAGACACCACATTTCATTGTTATTCCTTAGCCTTTTAGCATTTTATAATATTAATATTATTGCTAGAAATGTGTTACCTACACTTGCCTTCAAAATTTTATTAATTTATTAACAAATCAGATAAATTTCTAATGAATCACTAATTAAAACTTTTTAGTGAATTAGATTCGACTTTTTATATTTACCACAGTACCATGTACAGGAAAACTTGTAATAAAAAAATAGTTTTTCGATTGCGTATAAGTAAATTAACCATTTGTTTGTGCATGGTAGTTTTTGAATTTTTAAATTTTTTATTTAACAGATTATTATTTTTTTAGTTTTCAACGTAAAAACCCAACTATCGATCTATTTTATCTTGACGTAATGGCTCACGGCATCAATTGATAACATCTGATAACAATTGATTTCGAATTTTTAACTCAATTAGTGACATTGCAAAACAGTAATGGAAAAAGGTTGTTTTTAAAATAAATCGATCAAATGAAATAACCCAATAAAAGTAGACAATGAATACTATTGAATTTTAACAAATCATACAGAAAGTTTAGAACAATGATAACTGTTGTTTAAACAAATCAATATAATTTATAATATCCCTCCACTTGATTAACACTGAATAAACTTTAATACATTAAACCCTGTAAAACATATTTATCGTTAATATTATTTATAAAAACATAAAAACGCAGCATTGAAGGATGATATTGAGGTATAATGTGAGAAAATACAAACTTGGTCAATAGTAGAAAGGTAAATAAAGCCAAAAATATGATAAAAAAGAATATTTAAAAAAAATTGCAAATCACGTGGTACCAAATAGCGTCCTAATAAAGCAGTAAGGCCTCATGAAATTGGTAATTAAATAAAATTATTTAAGTTTTTTTATATTTCGTTTGTTTGAATTTTATTCATACTTTAGATAATTATATTGTTTTAAACGATTGAAGTCATGTAAATCAAGGTAAGCGAACTCAAAACGTTTTTGAATTCAATAATAAAATATTACTAGTCAATACATATTTTACAAAACTTACTTGTTTTCTCATTTCTAACGTAACTGGGTCTTCAGTTTGTTTTTTCTCCTCTGAGCTTGGAAACGGGTCCAAAATGTCGAAAACGTTGGACCAATCCTGGGCCCACATGTTGCCCAGAAGGTGTACCGGAATCGGTCCTTTTTTGGAAACGACTTCTTCGCCGTATTTCAAGTAAAGCTTCCTCCTAACGTAAGCGTGCAGCTGTTTATAAAGGGGGTCGAGCTGTTTCAGCAAGTCTTCGAGGTCCTTGTCGAATGTTTCCGATTCGAAGTCAAGCTTCCAATATTCAGCGGCGTCTGTAAAATCTGATTACCCAAAATTAGCGTTGTACATCGACGTTGTGAGAGACTTTAAAAAAAATTACTGTTCAGGACTGCAGCCTCGTTCAACAGGGTGACCATCTTTTGGTATTTGTCTTTGTATTGTTTTCCAGAAACCTCTCTCCATTCTGTCCAATAGTATTTTAGCTCTTCTGGGTCCCGGCTGGTCGCCATCACATGAAGCAGTTCTACAACACATTATTTGATTTTTCAGTGCTGTTTCACGGAGAAAAAATCTACTATTGCAATAAGCAACAATACGCTAATTAAAAAAAAGTAATAAATAATGCATTATATTGCCAAATTCAAATAATTAATTTCAGCTAACAAGGAAATTTTATCTGCATTACACAATAAAAGTGAAGTCTAAATTATTGCTTTTTAAAAACAAGAGAAAGTAAAAAGGAAAAGCTAGTAGTACGAATAAGACATTAACTACATTCTTCAAAGATAAATGCTAAATTTTCTAGCGTAACTATTGTGTAAACTATATGAAGTACGTGTGGTGGACCATCTTTTGCATAACATGGGATTCTATGAACAGATTTCAAGTACATATGGACACCAAAGGCACTCTCAATACGACACACAAGAAAGACACAATTATGCAGAAAACAAACACTTTGAGCCCTGAGGATGATCTCAATAAAGATGGAAACGTTGGCACGATAAAGAGAATGTTTTTCTAAAACCTACGTCACACCAGACAAAATAATAACCACCAGAGAAATAATAATTATATGAAGTATTATGGGATTTAAGTGTGTTGGCCAGTAGTCTAGAGAAGCATGATCTCAATGAGTTTATGCAGGTTTTCGTTCTGGCTTTAGTTTAATTTAAAGAACTTAATAATGATGCTCGTAAGAGTTAGTAGTCTGAAAAACCAAGTTGTGTAAGAACGACACAAAGCTTTAGCTTTGTTTCTCATTTGAATTAAGTAACTTAAAGATGATGGTCATATCTCCTAAGGAAGTATGTTTTTATTAAAGTAAAGAAGATATGATGCTTGTTGATCGACATGCAGATAATCTACATGGAGTTTCAATCTTCATGGAGGTCATTAGACAGGTGAAAAAGAAGAAGACTATTTTTTGGTTATTCAGAAATCGTGAGATGCGGTCTGGTGTGATATAGGTTTCAGAGAAACATTTTCTTTATCGTGCCGACGTTTCGATCTTTATTGAGATCATCTTCAGAACTTAAAGTGTTTGTCTTCTGTGTAATTTTGCCATTCTTGCGTGTCGTGTTGAGAGTGCCAACCAAACTAATTGTTGGGTTCACCAAGCTTTCGGCAACTTATAGTGCCATCATTCCATAGCGAGATGACTATTTTCACCATGTTAAATGTAGTATGCTGGCCATGTGCTTCATAACCTTAAACCCAAGTCGCTTTTACAATAGTTTTTCCAGGTTAATCGTTTTCTGCACCCTGCAATGGGACTATAAGTTGACGGAAGCTTGGTAAACCCAACAATTAGTCTTCTTCTTTCTTCACCTGTCTAATGAACTCTATGAAGATTGAAACTCCACATAAGTGAAGAAGGTTTAAGTTTGGTTCTCTAAAGATGTAAAGGATCTTAAGGGTAATAGCTAACGAGTAGTAGTAATCTGAAAAACCAAGGTATCTGTGATCTAAAGAAGGATTTGCTTTGCTTGTCGATTGGCTTTAGAAACTTAAAGACGATGGACATTGATCGTAGGAGGATATAGTCCAAAGAAGAAAGTTTTCAACAAACTATTCAAAGTTATTGTTTTGCTATCGTTTGACTTAAGGAACTTAAAGATGATAGATATTTCTTATAACAGGCAGTAGTCTGAATAACGAGGTCTCGTTGAACTCAAAAAGATAATTGCACTGTTTGTCGTTTGGCTTAAGGAACTTAAGAATTATAATATCGTAAAAGGTAATAGTCCAAGGAAGTACGTTTTTATTAAACTGAACAAGGTTTAAGCTTTGTTCTCTAAAGAAGCTTAAGGATAACAGCTATTTCTCATAAGTAGTAGTAGTCTGAAAAACCAAGGTCTCTATGACCTAAAGAATGATTTGCTTTGCTTGTCGATTGACTTTAGGAACTTAAGGATGATGGCCATTGATTGTAGGACGTTATAGTCCAAAGAAGCAAGTTTTTATAAAAATAAAGAAGATTTTTTAACTTTCTTTGCCGTTTGACTGAAGGAACTTAAGGATATTAGCTAATTTGTCTTAAGAAGTACTTGGCAGAAAAGCAAATTCTCTCTGATCTAAAGAAGGATTTTGCTTTGCCTGTCGTTTAGGTTAAGAAACTTGAGAATTATAGTTATTGCTTGTAAGAGATAGTAGTCCAAATAAGCAAATTTTTATTAAACTAAAGAAGATGTTTAACTTTCTTTGCCGTTTGACTGAAGGAACATAAGGATATTAGCTATTGATCGTAAGAGGTAGCAGTATGATCAAGATCACCATGACCTAATCAAAGATTCTTTCTTTGTATGTCGCTTGACTTAAGGATAAACATCATCTTTAGGTTTCTTAAGCTAAACGATAAACAGAGGAACACTTCATGGAGAAGTTGCTTCTTCATAAAGGACCAATAGTCTGAAGAAGTAAGAACTCAATAAAATAGGTTTTTGCATTAATTGTCGTTTATATTTTTATTTCATTAATCCTTATTTATAAATTTTTGTTGTGATTTGTTTTCTTGTGTTGGAAACAATTTATCCTGGTGGACTGTAATTAATATTAATTAATTAATACAATTTTGACCTGGTTATGCAATGTAATTGACTTGTTATTTGAAATATGCTGATAAAGGTAGTTTATTTAGGTTAGGTATAATTTTTAGTTTATTTTTCACCTGGTTCTAGGCTGAGATCGCATTTGGTCCTGTCTTTATAGTCACACACTTTTGCTTTTGAGTAGGTTTCGCCCATATCGCTAATGAGTTTGTTCAACTGTGACACAAAATCAATAAAAATGTAATAAATTAAAAATGATGGCATTATAATACAAAAATACCTCTTTTTTCTTTTCATCGGACAAAGCAGCGGTCCCAAGCAAACTCAGCTGTTTGAACTGCCTTCTTAGGTCGGCATCTTTAAACGTTTGCCAAGGGAATTTGATCGTCTCTTCCCAGTATTTTTTCACCTTGATCGAAGTTTCCAATGCTGTGTCAAGCTGAAACATTCAACGTTGTGAAAAATATTAAGTCATTAATAAAATTTAAAAAAAATTACCATTATCTTTTTGTTATGTTCGGTCAGATTTGACTCGTAGTTCCAAGAAACGAGGGTGTTCATGTTGGCTAGTTGGCCTCTTAATTCGTTCTGTTCCTTGGCGAACTTCACGGCGGCTTCTTCTGTATAGTCGCCCGTTGCGAAGGCGAAGCCCACGAGAAGAAGACAAAGAAACATTTTCTGAAAATAAAATGAAAATAATTTTAAAAACAATCTCTGTCCACTGGGGATTATACATAACTGTTTCACCTAACAAAAATAAGTATGAAAGGACATTTAGGTTCAATTGAATGTGAACCAATCAACAAATCATAATCTTCTTCGATAAAATACTATGATCGAAATAAAAATACTACCAATATAGATGTAATACCTGTCATGAATATGTGTTATATTTAAGTATAGTGGTTTTATTTTCTTCAAAAACTTATAAAAGTAACTCAGATGATCCTATGTAAATAATTCAATCACTGAGAATTCACTGTACGTTAACGAACAGGGAATTCATTTAAAAAAAAAAAAAAAAAAAAAAAAAAAAACCTACATCACACCAGACCGCATCTCACGATTTCTGAATAAGTAATACAATTTGTTTTTAAACCATTCCATTCATTAAAGTCCATAAAATTTTCTTATTATTCTTCATATTATTCTGCATATTGCTATACTAGTATTTTCTTTCGAGGGTACTTCAACAACGATGTTATATGAACCCAGGGGTGCCAATGTTTTTGAAAAAAAGCCCATTTGTAAGAACTTCGGCTTCGAGTGCAGGGCCGCTGGATTCGAACCCGGGACCTTTACCTTACAGTGATGAGCGCCGTGTCAACGCCTAAACCGTTGCAGCCACCGACGGCCCTTACTCATTTTTTAATGTCGTTAGTAAATTCAAAAATTCGGTAACACGTTCATTTTTGCACTTTTTACGATAACTTCAAATTGAGCTTAAACCACGGCTCAATTTGAAGTTTTCGTAAAAAGTGCAAAAATTAACAAATTCCCTAATTTTTGACTTTACTCGCGCTTGTCAACGTCTAAACCGTTGCGGCACCCATCTATAAGTTCCAACTAGTTTTAAATTTTTTTTAAGTCTTTGAAGTTTTCTTGCAAGGACTGTTGCTTTGTTTCATCCACCTGTTTTCCTTTGAAGAGTTCTTTTTTTAGAAAAAACGTCTCTATTTGAAAGTTTGCATAATTGTATATTATCGAAATTTAAAAGTATATTGTTTCAATTTTACATTGTTAGAGGGCGCTTGGCTTAAGAAAGAAGTTTCATTCGCTTGTTTATTTTATCTTTTCTTAAATATTTATAAACAACTTCAACATGGAAAGAATATCCAACCGGGATTTTGATTTTTTCTTTTTTCACATTTTCTGGCGATCTGCCATTCTGAAACTCGGTCTGGTTGACCAACAGACGCAATTTTGCAATGGTCCTTCCAATTGAGTTTGACAAGGCGTAAACGCAAGAGACTGACAACCTTCACAAGAAACTTATTGCGCAACGCTTTCTCATTTTGTCCACACATACAGAGAAATTTCGACTGCTGCATTTCCCAGATGGGAACGAAACATTAGTAAGCAATAAGTAAGCATTTAGTAGCCAGTAAGCAATTTTATTAATATCATGCATAAATGAAAAACTAATACGGATCTGTGGTCGATTGTGTTTTAAATGTAAAAATAAAATACTTATTTTTCAAGAAGATCAAACTCAAAAAAACATTTGTCTAGAATGTTCATTAGCACGGAGGTCTTTAGGTGGCCGAGGCAGATAAAAATTTTCCTTCTATTAATTTTATCTAATCGATTGGATGTTGACTTCGATTCCTAAAATGTTATAATTTATAATTGCTCTAACAACTCGAAATGATTCATTTAGGTGCTACAAAGGCAACATGTATTGCAGTCCAATGATCCAAAAGACTTTCCTGAAAAAATGTGATGATAATATTGGAATAAGAAACCGCCCAATCAGCAAAGATTCCATTATTTCATATAACCGTATAATTCAATTTCATTTATGCTTCAACATTATTTTTCAAACATTTTTTATTTATAAAAGACTATAGTTTAATTTCTTAAAAATGTATTCGAATAAAATTATTTATTTAAATTTCTAGTTCAAATTTTCAATTATTATAAGAATGAACAGATCATAATTCTTGAGAAACATAAGTTTTTCTGCGATTTGCTTTGTTACAATTCGTTTTTTTTCCTCTACGAATGAAATAACTAAATTTTAGCAATTTTTAAATTATATTTCATTATGGCATTTTATTTTATTATTTAATTTTATTTTATTATGACGGTGGCTCGGCCAACATGCCTCAGCTGAAGTAAAGTGAGGAAATTTCCTATAATGCCAAGAAAGAATGTTAAGAATTATAAAACAAGAACAAGTAAAAATTATATAAAATATATTGTACTGCGCACAGTGTTAAAAGATAGAATAAGTTTAATAATAATAGTTTTAAAAAAACACAGAGAAAGTCAGAAAAAGAGCTAGAAAAAGAGAGTGTTAGAGATGTTGATAAAAAATAGCTAGGAGAGAAATGGGGGCGGCAAAAACCGAGATACGGAAAAATAGGGAGAGAGTGAGAGAGAGAAAGAGAGAGAGAGAGAGAGAGAGAGAGAGAGAGAGAGAGAGAAGGTGGAAGAAAAAAGATTCAGCTAGATTTAAAAAAAAGTCAAAAAGAGTCTGTTAAAATGTACCAGTGAGAAACATAAAAAAATAGAGAACAACATTTACCTACTCACATAAAATATACTAGGAAAGAGAAAATAGTCAAAGAGATTGGCAAAAGAAAAAAAAACAACCTCTTAGTTGTTACACATTCAAAAATTATATTCCATAATAATTTGTAAATTAATAAAAACAATAAAATTGGTACCTAGTAACAATTCAGTTTATACAAGTTTTGTGGAAAATTGTTCCATAAATACATAAAATTAGTTGACATCGAGCCTAACTGTAAACAAGGTACGACTGGTGAAAGACTTACCATTGTGGTCCGTTTCGTCCCGGCCATCCCTGCCTTCTGAGGCGTCTTAGAAAATTATTCCAACGTCTGGACAGCCCCTTCCACGACCATACCGACCTTTCCGGTTTCAGGTTGTAGTCACGGGCGCGAGTTCATTTGAATTACCTGTTTTATCTTATAAACAAGGAGGAAAGTGTACTATGAGGAGAAATAACTAATTGCTTTGGAAATTTTCAAATAAATAATTTATCTAATCTCAGCCAAACAATTTGTTGATAAAGTTGATGGTGTTAACAATTTAAAAATATTTTTTAACTTTCCAAGTTTACGAAGAAAGTACAGAAAATACAGTTCAAATTTGACATAGAAGAATTTCAATTCGTTTTGCGCGATTGCGATCGTAATTTTAATATAAAAAAAACGGATTGGAATCCATTATATTTGAATTAGATGATAAGTTGGAAAAATTTTCTCCGCTTCTACATATTCGGAAAACAACAAACGGATGAATAAGACCTTAAAGATTTTTAATAAATGATATGCTTTTCGCTAAATTCTTTACTTCGTTGTTAATCGCAATTATGCACTACTCCCGTTTACCTTTGTTTTGAATTCACATTGCAACTTATCCTTCAAAAAGATAAGAGGTAATAAAAATTCAATATTATGTAGTATTTATTATTCTTAACACCAAAAAATGCGACCGCAATTGATATTTATTCAGTTGATAATCTGTGCATAATTTCGGTAAAATATTAGAGAGAGGATAGAGAAGAATCTGGCAACAAACGTTAGAAACTATGTGATAGAACAGTGTGACAATACATAAATAATGTAAAAAGAGTTCTGGAAATTTGTAGAAAGAGTAGGGGTAAAGAGCTAAAAGGGAGAACAATAAGAGTAATAGTGAGGGAGAGAATGAAAGAAAAATGTGTGTTAGGACGATAGTGAAACTGGTTGAGTGCTAACAATACACTTAGTATTGATATACGTTTATAATAAAAAAAAAATAGATAGAATGAGAACAAAAAGGGAGAGGATGTGTGAGAAAGTGCCGGTGAGAAAGGTGGAAGAGAGAGAAAGATGAGAAGTGTCAGCCAAAGAAAAGTGGAACAAGTCAGAAAGAGTATGTTAGAACGTGATGGTGAGACAAATAAATGTGTAGAAACAGTTGAGTTACTATGAATACAGATGAGCAGAGAGAAAGAAAAAAGAAAACAATAAAAGTGAGAGAGAAGAGGGATAGAGAGAAAGTGACTGAATGAGTGAGACATTGAGAGGGAAATCAAGATAGAGCGAGGGGGAGAGGGAGAAAGAGAAAGTGAGTGAGACAATGAGAGATAGATAGAGAGATAGAGATAGAGTGTGTGAGAGAGAGAGAGAGAGAGAGAGAGAGAGAGAGAGAAGGTAGAGAGTGTGTGTGTTTAGAGAGAGAAGGAGAGGATGAGAGAGAGGAAAAGAAAAGAAGGTGGAAGAAACAAAATTCAGCCACATTTTTAAAGAAGTCAGAAAAAGTCTGAGAACGTAACAGTGAAAAAAAAATAGAGAAAAACGTTGAGCTACTGGAAAAATGTAGTGGGAAGGAGAGAATAGTCAAAGAGATTGGCAAAGGAAAAAAAAGACAACATAATTGCTACACACTCAAAATTATGTTCTCTTTATTGAGAGAGATGGAGAGAAAGAGAGGGAAACAGAGAGGGAGGGAGAGAGAGAGTGTTGGGAGAGAAGGAGAAGATGAGAGAGAGAAAAAGAAAGGGAGAAGAAAAGAAGAGAAGGAAAAAAATAAAATTCAGCCACATTTTTAAAAAAGCCAGAAAGTTTCTGAGAACGTAAAAGTGAAAAACATAGGGAAAACGTTGAGCTACTGGTAAAAAATGTAGTGGCAAAGAGAGAATGATCAAAGAGATTGGGAAAAAAAAAAAAAAAGAGCGACTTAATTGTTACACATTGAAAATTATATTCTCTCTTTATTAAGAGAAAAGGAGGGAGAGAGAGAGTGTTGAGAGAGAAGGAGAAAATGCGAGAGAGAAAAAGAAAGGGAGAAGAAAAGAAGAGAAGGTAAAAAATAAATTTTGCCACATTTTTAAGTCAGAAAGATTCTGAGAACGTAAAAGTGAAAAAAATAGGGAAAACGTTGAGCTACTGGTAAAAAATGTAGTGGCTAAGAGAGAATAACCAAAGAGATTGGGAAAAGAGAAAAAAAAGAGCGGCTTAATTGTTACAGATTCAAAATTATGTTGTCTCTTTATTAAGATATATATATATATATATGCTCTAACAACTCGAAATGATTCATTTAGGTGCTACAAAGGCAACATGTATTGCAGTCCAATGATCCAAAAGACTTTCCTGAAAAAATGTGATGATAATATTGGAATAAGAAACCGCCCAATCAGCAAAGATTCCATTATTTCATATAACCGTATAATTCAATTTCA